CAAACAGAATATAATAGGCAAAAATGTCAAAAAAAGGGGTACAGCAGTCAGCATTGTGTTATAATCTTAATCACTACAAAAACAAACAAATATGTCAACAAAGACAAACAAAAAGGCATATAGACAAAGCACATTAGCAATAACGAAAGACAAGAATGCAAATATTTACCATAGCACAATACGATGACGGGATGTACAAGTACCGAGCCACGTCAAATGAATCACTACAAAAACAAGTAAATATGTCAACAAAGACAAACAAAAAGGCATATAGACAAGGCACATTAGCAAAAACGAAAGACAAGAATACAAAATGTTACCATAGCACACCAACACAATGACGGGATGTACAAGTACCGAGCCACGTCAAATGGATACTGCTAAAAATAGGCTAAACAGTAAATGTAATAAATTACAAAGACAAATAAAAAATACTATAACACGTTATTTAAATGATAACCAACGTCAGTACCTAGAATCTATACTTCAAGAACATCATGTATTATTTGTGAAGTTGAAACGGAATATTTATCAACAAGGGGTTGGTATCTTCCGATGAACAATTTTTAGAAAAAGGACGAGACGTTATTTGACATACCCTTGGTTCATCAACTTTCTGCTCAGACACTGGTGACGTTTTACAAAGTCTGAGTAGCAGCTGCAAGCTCTTGAATACCGAATGAGTTGGGAAATGTATATCCCATATGCAGGTGAAGTTGGTATATTGCTACTAAGGTGGGGGAAATTGATAATTTTAAAATTAAAATTGTCTCGTTTGTCATAGATTCTGGTACTGAGATGACCGCTTATGTCAAATTCGAGGTATAAGACTAAAAATGAGGCAGAGGAAGCTGTGTCTGTTGTTTCTTTAATTTCTAGTTCTGGAGGATATATTAATGGAACCCAATCAGAAAAGTTTGGATTGTTAATGGAAAGAACATCATCAATATATCTGAATGTGAAATTAAATGATCTGGCTTCTTTGATCGTCTTGTTTTTGACAAGTGTCTGAAGGAACTCCGACTCATATGAAAATAAGAAGAGGTCGGCAAGTAGAGGCGAACTACAATGCCAAGAAATCTAAATGAAACTGTAGATGGCATCTCTTCGAAATTCTAGGAATAAAAATCTTATTCGTTCATCTATCTTTTTTCGTTTAGAAATAATCTCTTGTGTGAACTATCAACGGATTTATAGTTATTTTGAAAACTATTGCTTACTGTACTTGAGCTTCGTTTACTCAAGTTTTTTTTTATGAGATTCGTGCTGCTGGATCTTAAGTCATTCTGTTGTATATTGTGCGATGTTACTTGTCTTTCGTCCTGTTTCTTTTGGTCATAGTTTTCTGTCAGTATTCAGCATTTTCTTTTGTTAATTTATGCGAGTATCTTCGTTTTTAATTACATGTATGTGCTAATCATTATTTTTCTCCTTCTATTTATTAGGGGGGTTATATGGTCTTATTTTTTTTCAACACGGATATTTTTTTTAAATAATGGTAGCAGCCAACACTGCACAAATTAAGTGAAAGTTCAATCGAGATAAATCACCGGATAAATGAATAAATTGCCCTTAAGAGTGATAATTTCTCATTTAGCAAGTTTATCCCCATATAGCTAAAAAAAATGATAACTTCTGACAAATAAATTGTCGCATGGATTCGTATTCACTAGAAATAATTCATATAGAGAACGTTGCTTCAAGTATTAGTTGCATGGAGAATTGAGTTTGGACCGTAATGACCCAGCAGTTTAAAAGAAATTATAAAAGTTATTTCATATATTTGCATTGACTGAATAGTAACGGTGTGTGACTATGGGTGAAATTTAACGTGACGAAAGCTTATATAGAAGCTTTCCTTTGACAATGCAGTACTGTTTCAAAACAGTTGAACATATCTTTAGTGAAATTTTTAATACTTATCATAATCAAAGATCGACTCGGTAAACTTGTGTTTGTTCCAAACAGAACCAAATGAATAATGTCAGGATGCTTAGGGTTTCAATGTGAACCAACATCCCTTTTATGCCACCCGATCAACATAAATTAAAAGGGCTTCCAATCAGCAATCCCCTAAACCAGTTTCAAAATATTTCACCTTGTAGTTTCAGAGAAGAGGAGTTCGAAAAATTGTAGGCTAAAAGATTGCCTCTAAGGATCATTTTAGAACATTGCTCCCTAATGAAGTGGTTTACAGAAGATGAAAATGTAATTTCATAGGGTTTCAATGTGAGCTCAATGTCGTCATTTTGCCACCCGGTCAATATCAAATGATGATTGTTTGCAATGGGTCTTTAAATTATTGATCACATTAATTACAAATCATTTTATCTTTCTTTTTTCAGAGGTGTTTGAAAAATTGCAAATCAGAATAAGAACTTGTCTCTGGCAACCATGTTTTATCTATCTGATCAAATATCTGGATCACTTGTAGAGGTCTTTCTATATATATCATTATTGGAGTATATGCATATTTGTTAAAGGAAATGGAAAATATTTAAATAAGATCGAATTGACAGCGATACTGCCATGTTTGCTACCTGGTCAAAGTAAAATGTTGATTATTTCAAGAGAGTCTTCAAATCATTAATCCCTTTAGTTCCGAATATTTCATTTTGTAGTTTCATCAGATAAGATATTATTTTTGAAAATTGGCAAATCAGAATTAAATCAGAATTACAGAATTTGCATTTTCCTGTCATGTTATTCACCCAAACTAACCAATCAATAATATTTGCAGAACACCTCACATATATCATTTCTCCAAAGTTGAATAAGTATTGTTGACACTGACAACCAAAAATGCAATGTGATGAAAATAGCCCAATGGTTTTTGTGGACAAGTACAACACTGTCATGAAATATTAGTTCCTTCATAATAGAAGTTCCAAATGGATGAAATATTATGTAGTATAATTTCCACTGGAACAAATACAGTATTTGTTACTAACGGAATAAAGGGTATAGAATATTTGTTCCAACAGGAACATATATTATGGCATTGTTTATAACAAAGTTTCCAGGGGAACAAATGTACGTTGACAACACGACCACGACAAACCTCTGAGGTGCTGTTGGGAGAACTGCCTTCAGCACTATTTAGATTTTTAAAAGTATAAGAATTTTTTTCAATTGTCATATGATAACATATCAATATGCATGAATATTATAGTGTTAGTTGTATTTAAAACAATATTCTTACACTAATGGATGGTTTTATTTTTATAGCACTGAAGTTAGATTTAAGTAAAATGGTTACGTATGATGTGTAGGTTTTTTTTACAAAAATAAATAACATTTATGTGATCTCCAATACACATATGTTAGCCTCTGCCTTAAGCAAACATACAATTGTTTCAATAAGAAGACTAGCAGGGGCTCTTTTAACAAAAAATCTTTCAACTAAATTTGACCTTAAGTTATACTGAAATGTTAATGACTTATAAATATTTTTTCTCATAAGACTTTTTTGTGAAATATATAATATTTCACTTAATAAAACAAGAGTGCTCACCCTGAAATGTCTCGCCTGTTTAACTTATCATTGAATTCATGCTAAAAGTCTGTAATATGAAGGTTTTACTGCAAGCTTCACATAAACTTAGCATTATCAATGTTCTATGAAATTGAGGTCACAGTCAGATTAAACATGCTAGACAGACATGTACACCTTTCAATCATTTAAGGCACCATATCGCTGATCGTACCTGAGAAACAGATCATACCACAAAATCATAACATTGACCAACGAACCATGACAATGAAATCAAGGTCATATGAACCCTGTCAGACAGACATGTACACCTTACAATCATTTCATGCACCAAATACAGTTGACCTATATCTTATTGTATCTGATAAACTGACAAAATTACAAATACAAATCATTTCACCAATGAATCATGAACATTTGGTCAAGGTCATATGAACTCTATCAGATAGCCATGTACACCTTACAATCGTTCCATACACCAAATATAATTGACCTATTGCTTATAATATCTTATAAATTTATAGACCAAACTACAAAAAATAAATATTGGCCATTGAACCATGAAATTGATTGTCAAAGTTCGATGAAACCTTCCAGTCATGTACACCTTGCAATCATTCCATACACCAAATATAGTTGACCTAATGCTTATAGTATCTTAGATACAGACTTGACCACATAAATTTAACCTTGATCACTGATCCACGGAAAGAGGTCAAGGTCAGGTAAACCCTACCTAACAGACATGTTAACATTGCAAGGAACCAATATACCAAATATAATTATCCTATTACTCATAATAAGTGAGTATTTCACTTGATAAAAAAAATGATTTTATTTCAAGCAGTCAACGAACAATGAAAATGAGGTCAAGGACAATGGACATATGACAGACCGAAACTTCCTATCAAAAGGTATCTGTATACAAGGTAATAAGCATCTAGTTCTTCTACCTTCTGAAGTATAAAGCTTAATACAAATAGTTTCACAGCCGCCGGATTTTAATCCCTACATGTCACATACTTCGACTTTCTTCACAAGCAAGACAAAAGCTAAACTTTCAGTGCAATTGACCGATCAATTGTGTAAAATAGTCAAGACAATTTTGACAAAATATCTTGTGCAAAGTCTGAATAATATTGCTGTAGAGTAACACATGAAACAAGGTACCCTCAAAGACATTTCATAAAAAGAAAATATGAGAATCTTTCAATGGTACTAATGTTGTAGGCTGTCTCAAAATAATACAAGCAAAAATGGTGAAATCCCTGTTTTGATATGGGAACACCAAAAATAACTGACCAAAAATTAGAATAGCAGGTGCACAACTTAATATCCAAGAATCTAAACAAGTTTGACGGGAATCTGTTCAGTTGATTTTCTTGATACAAACTAGGTACCCTCAATGTGTTTTTGATGGACTGATGGAATGGCTGACCGAGCTGTGAATGAGCTGTTACTTGGTCTGCTATCGTCACTAGCAAACAAAGTTAAAAAAAACACATAATTATCAGCAGTTATAAATCTTTATTACTGGCAGTGATACACCAATACACTTAACAACATACTATCACAGAACATTTATTATTACTATGTCTAAAATTACTCATCAAAAAGTAAAGAATACCATGTCTATAAAAGTTTTAAATTATTTTTTCTATCTCATAACAAATGTACCAGAAAAATTTGCTTTTTTCTCTATTCATATCATGTATATTGCATCGATTACTGCTAATATGACAGTCACTGTGTCTAATATGATTAAACATGTAGTTTCAAAAATATTCATGTTGAATATATATATTTAATGAAATCTTCTTTCACAAAAATATCTTTATGATTGATAAAAAAATAAATTATCGTGTAATGATGAAACAATATAAATATTTAACTTGAAATATCAAGTTTAAATATCAAATTAATTATTTTCTTAATCTTGTAACTCATAAAATAAGAGAAAACTAAAAAAAATGTTTTGTTCTTAAATCCTCTTAATATTAAATGTATAGATTTTTTTTATATTATAATATCAATTTTCTTTAGCTTCCAGAAATTTTCAAGGCATTTTGGCTACTTGCACTTTTTTCAAATTGGGAATTTTTTGTATTGAGCACATGGTCAGAGGGAAATTTTTTTCATATTGGCTTGATTATGGGTTTTTATGCTTCTCATATAAATAAGATCAAGGATCAAATATTTACTTTACTCAATGTGCTACTTTTTTGTAAAAATTTGTAAAATTTTGCTATTTAACCTACTGGATAATTATCTTACTTTTCTATTAGCAAATCAGCATTTCTGTGAAACCATTTCCTTATCTTGTCAATATTTTAACAATAAGTAGCTTTTAGGTGATCTTTTATTTCTACCATTAGAATCAATAAAATAGAAATAGTAATAAAGAAAGATAACTGGGATTACAAAAATATGTCATCTAAAAAAATAAATGAAATATAGTCAACAGCTAAGTGACATAGAAGACGTACTAATACTGAGAAATGCCTTTTTTATCAATTAAGCTTTCTGGTGTGTTTGGAACATGCACATTTTGGATAAGTTGGACTAAAAACCCTGGCAGGTAGCTGAAAATTTTTATTACATTCTTTTCAATTCTGGATGTGGTGTGGTGCATTTGAGAAATTGCAAGAGTGACCTAAAACCCAATCAATAAGTACTTCAGAGTATTCAAGTGTACTATTTTACTGATATAAAATTCCTTTTGATAGATAATGTGATTTTTCAAGTTTTGAGAAAACACTTCAGTATGTTGTTGGAAGATCAGTAAGAAACTGATATTTCTATTAATTCTTTGTGTGAGTTTTATTAATAAAAAAGTTACTCTGAGAACAATAATAAATATTCTGATGAACTTTCTGCTCTGTAAAATAATTCATAACAATAATACTGACAACAATGGTATGATAAAATAGTACAATAAAATGTAAAACAAAAAAAAAATGACTAAAAGAACAATAAAATATAAATCCTTAAATTCTGAATATCAGTCAGCTATTTTCATATGTCCATGTATGTTAACAGACAATGTAAGCTTGATCCTCATGAACATGTATACTATATCTCTTCGCAACATTCTTCGCAACATTTAACTATTTCTGGTTAAAACTGGTCTGAACCAGTTTCTTCCTTGTAAGCTTTTGACAATATGATCCTATCTCGTAATAATTTAAATAAAGTATAGTAATTACAAAACATCATAAGAGCAACACATATAATATGGTTCCATTCTGTACTTTGTATCAGGCTAAAAAACTGGTATCCTACTAGTAACCATGTTAATATTAGCAACCAGTTAACAACTCTCATTGGCTGGTGAAAAAAGAACTGTAAAGAAAAGAAAACAGATAATTATATTTTATTGATTTATAATATTGTTTGATCTGTCATGCTCTGTAAATCTTGGGTTTTCAAAATTAAATGATTAATTTTATTTACAATGTGTGTTGTCAGTCCTATTTTACTAAAAAAGTAATTGTCAAAGAATTAATACTTATACAAATAAACATTAAACTAACCCTTACTTGTGCATGGAAAATACATTTTTTCTATTCATCATTAAAGAGTTATGACCCTTGATTTTTCAACATATTGTAAAGTACTTTCAGATGTATTGAAGTGTCAACATATTTGTGAGGTAAACATGATTATAAAATCATAATATACAGTCATGCACATGTCAGTCTGGATGATAGAGAACCCCAAAACAAAATGGAGAGCAAATGATATGGAATTGTATTGACATTAAAATACTCGTTGTGGAAAATATTAACCAATTTTATTCAAACAATTAAGAATTAGAGCAAAGCACACTAGTGTAGCAGGATCGGCTTACTCTTCTGAAGCACCTAAGATCACCCCTAATTTTTGCTAAAAAAATAAAAGCAGGTGATTTTTTTGTTCAATTGAAATAAAATATACCAACATTATGTAGGCCTCCTTAATTGAACATTGACTTTAAAGATTGCTCATTACAGGAGTTAAAATGGTAGAGTACCCTTTTTTCTTGTTTGTCTGTTTTTCCTTCAAGGCAGCCATGTTAGTTGATTAAGCACGGATATTAGGAAAACAATTTAAATTGTGTACCATAAGGATTATAATGAAGAAGTTTGGTTTCAATCAGCACTGTGGTTTCAAAAAAGTTTTTCTTTAAAAGTTAACTAATGGAAGAGGATGGATGCTGGATGACAAAATATCAACACTAAGTGAATCAGATGGCAATAAAAAAATCAAAAACCATAAGATTAAAAAAACAGACAATAACCTGGCCAAAAGACAAACGACGAAAAACAATCACTTTAAAGTTTTGAACCAATAAAATTGACATATAAATAAGATTTTTTACTTACATAAAATCTTCCATGCATACTATTGCCGGGTTCAGCAGTTACATTTACTCCTTCAGCTTTAAATAATCCTCGTACATGTTTGACTAGAGCTCCCTGGGGCCAGACTGTCAGCTCAGACCACCTGTAAAATCAAACAAAACACACTTTGTAAAAAAATTAGGAGTAATGAACTTCTGTTAAGGAGGTACCCAACATTTCGACTAAAATCAAATCCACTCGTTTAATTTTCATCAAATTTTGACAAAATATTTACTTTGACCTGTTGACAAAAATATAAATATTTCAAGCAATTTGAACCACACAATTTACAGGAATAATTTCATTGGATATATAGCAATTTGACAAACACTAATTTTTATCATGAGAAGCTTGATTTCTTTTTACTAATAGTTTGTGATTAAAACATTCAGCTGATCTTTAAAGAGTTAACTCCCTTAGGTGTTCTGTACCTCTTAAAGTATATGAAATTTGAAATTATATCAAATGTAAGTAGTTTTAGCTTTTCTGCAACTTTGAGTATTAAACATTTGATGCTTGGCATAAATTGTCAGAAAATGTTGTCATTGTTACCTTCAAAGTTGTGGGAAAAAGTGTCACTTCCTCACAAAGTGGAGAATTTTTTATTCAGTGTAAAACATCTTTTTCCAACTTACGCATTATATGGAACATGTGCATGACGTCCTTCTACCTTTTGCCATCTTCCCAAATGTTGGGCACACCTGTGTAACAAATCTAGGTACTTTGGTGGAAGAAAATGTACCATGAAAATAAGAAAAGCACTGACCCAGGTAATACAAACATGTTGTCCGACCCACCATGTGTCGTAGTATAATGTATTCTAGAAAGACAAACAATAAAAACTTATAATATGTTCGAGAAATAAACACAGACCTCAAGGCCAAAAGCTAAATAAAGCAAATTCAGGAACTAATCTGCAGGGATGATAGCCCTTAAAATTTTGGAACAAGGAAATATACTGGGCTATATTTTTTTGTAATGCCTTTAAACATGCACAATCAAAGACCTGAATAATCAACAAATTTATACAGCTACCAACCGGTTCTTAAAAGCAAAAATTTGAAATAATGTTTTCTTTTATCTAGTAAAGAAATAATCACAATAAATCAGCATGATATCTTATTATCATGTTATGTACTTAACCAGATGGAAAATTAAATGAATAAACAGGAATATTGGTTAAGTTTCAATGATTATCTCAATTTTTGGAATGTTAATGTCAAACTTATCCAGAAAGGATGGAAAGAAAAATTATTACCATCTACAAAGTTTCGCATAGAATTGGTAATTTAAAACTTATTGCATGTAGACAGTTCATAACCTTTTCTAAAGATTAGATTTATCAAAAAACAAACCTGAAAAGACAGTCTCATCTTTAAATACCTTATGGAGGCTAAATCCGAGAAACTAATTTTTTTTCTTTATATCATATATCACATGAATAGAAACTTTCATAGGTATCATCAGATCAGTGCTGCTTATTTTCAGCCCAACATTTCATCTATAGAAATGCCAAATCTACATCTCTGATTCAGATTCATTGAATAATGTTATTTTTACAAATTTTGCATTTTGAGCAATGTCTTGAAAGTAATTTGTCAAAGAACAAAAATTCTTTACAAAAATGGCTGAAGCTAGCAATCTCATAGGTGAAAATGCCATTTGCAGAGAGTAAGCGAATGCAATAAATGAACCTACAACATATAACACAAAAGTTAATTCTGTAACTTGAGTAATTATATAGAAAATTAGTTACAAATGAACTTTATCTAAATCTAAAACTAACAAGTCAAACTTAAACTCTAGTAACTGATTTTTAAATCATTTTGAAATCTACCTGATAGTACTATTTCAATGTATTGTGAACAGTTGTCGTATCATTGAAAAATTCTATGCCAGCAAATAAAAATTTAAGAACTTTTGTTTTGTATAATTTGCATAATTTTTTCTGAATTTGATAGGAATCATCACTGGACATTACACAAATCTTTGAGGTAATGTTTATAATCATTTTAAAAGCAGATAAATAGCATTTGGCTGATAGATTTAAGCTTTCTAAGACAATTTGTTAACAAACAAACTGTATTTCGGGAAAAAAGAAGAAATTTAGAATTAAAATGATAGTGGCATGAAAAATAATCTGTCTAAAAACTAAAGATTCAAAGTTTAAAAAAAAAATCATCTGAGAAAGCCAGATAATTTTTCCAAATTTAAAAAAAATATCTCTTTTGTATTTTTACTTAAGGTGTTAAAACCATTCATGGTCTCTACTACTGCCCAAGCAGTACACAACACGGTTCTGTTTAATATTGGCTCCAATATCTTTCATTTTTCCAATTAGAAAAAAATCTCATAATGAATACTAATTTGAAATAAGTGATATTTTCTTTTCAGACTAACCAAATTAGTGATACTTTTAGACTAAATAATTTAATTCTGTTTTTAAACATTAAAAAGTAAGAAAAGTTGTTCCAATCCTTTATAAATTATCTTATTAAATCACCCAACAGAAACCTGAGAATAAATTCCTGTCAAAGAGTGCTATAATTGATAATGTTTTATATTTAATACTGAAAAAAAGCAGAAAATTAATGAAGCTGCTGATATATTTCTTGGTGATATATCCCATATGCTGAAAAAAGAACCTATTCAAACCCAAATATTTTTAGCATATTGTAAATGGATATTATCAAAATTTGTATCCTTATGAAAAAATTGTTTAAATTAAAACTGGAATGTGCTATATAGTACATTCCTGGAATGAAGTATGCTTAATACTCCCAGAAGCAATATTTTTTTCATTATCATGGAAGTGTCCATAGCAGAATATAGGTATATAGCTTTTTAAATACCAAAAACTTCAGTAAAATAATCTTAACATACAAAGATGATCTATAAAATAAATATTAAAACTAGAGGCTCTCAAGAGCCTGTGTCGCTCACCTGTAGTTACTGATGCTTTGGAAATCATGTAAATTAAGGTTAAAATCATAATTAATAGTATTAGATATTAGATATCATAATGATATCTAAGATAATAACAAAAAAATGCAAAATTTTTGTAAAAATTACTAACTCAGGGGCAGCAACCCAACAACGGGTTGTCGGATTTGTCTGAAAATTTCAGGGCAGATAAATCTAAATCTCATGAACATTTTTGCCACCTGTCAGATTTGCTCTAAATGCTTTAGTTTCAGAGATATAAACCAAAAACTGCATTTTACCCCTATGTTCTATTTTTAGCCAAGTTGGCCATGATGGTTAGAAGGCGGGGTCATCGGACAAATTTTTTAAACTAGATACCCTAATAATGATTATGGCCAAGTATGGTTAAATTTGTCTCAGTAGTTTCAGAGTAGAAGATTTTTATAAAAGATTACAAAAATTTACGAAAAATTGTTAAAAATTGACTATTAAGGGCAATAACTCCTAAAGGGGTCGACTGACAATTTTTGTCATGACAACTTATTTGTAGATCTTACTTTGCTGAACATTATTGTTGTTTACAGTTTATCTCTATCTATAATAATATTCAAGATAATAACCAAAAACTGCAAAATTTCCTTAAAATTACCAATTCAGGGGCAGCAACCCAACAACAGGTTGTCAGATTTGTCTGAAAATTTGACGGCAGATAGATCTTGACCTGATAATCAGTTTTACCCTATGTCAGATTTACTCTAAATGCTTTGGTTTCAGAGATATAAGTCAAAATCTACATTTTACCCCTATGTTCTATTTTTAGCCATGGCGGCCATCTTGGTTGGTTGGCCGGGTCATCAGACACATTTTTTAAACTAGATACCCTAATGATGATTATGGCCAAGTTTGATTAAATTTGGCCTAGTGGTTTCAGAGGATGAGATTTTTGTAAAAAGCTAACGACGACGGACGACAACGACGACGACAACGGACGACGGACGCCAAGTGATGAGAAAAGCTCACTTGGCCCTTCGGGCCAGGTGAGCTAAAAAACGAATTCAAACAACAAATCATGCACTAAAATGAAAACTTCAATATTTGTTTTATAGAATTACAAAACATTCGCTTTTCCATACAACAAAAATAAAATAAAAATATAATTGGATACAACTCATGCAGAATGATGCACAAAATACTACAATGGGACTTACCCAACAAGTTTGACAACTGTTTTGTACATGCTACAATACATTTAGTATTTGTTATATTACTCCTCCTCCTTGTTTTAATTTTGTCCGAGATAGAGGTACTCATGCTAGATTACATTTATATATTAGTACTTGTATGCATTCATCTTATAATCGTTAGATTACACGTGTACATTAAAACAAAAGATCAAATTAATTAAAATAAGCCTTCATAGTTGTATACAAACAGAATTTATATGAACTTCATTGTACACCTTGAAGTATTTTTCTATCAGAAAGACTGTTAATTTAGAATATACTTGTCTTTCCTCTACAGTTTACTTAAAATTCCAAAATTGTATATATATTCTGTCAAGTATTTATGAACAAAATGTTGAAAAAAACCTATCAAATGTATTTTTTCCAATAATCCATTTTAAACAGTTTGAATAACTAAGCATATTGAAGCATCTTAATCACTTCTATGAGGATCACCTTGTCACCAAGTTTTGTAATAGCAATTTAATTCAAAAGCATATGAATATACCCCCAAAAGAAATCAAAATATTATTTTTCTAAAGATTAACATAAAATATCATAAGTAATGCATGTAACACATTGAAAGGTACTTTACACGTATGTTTTCATTTAATTCAATATTCTTTAGATGATTTGATTTGATTTTGATTTTTGGTGTTTTAACGCCACTTTTAAGCACCGCTTTTGGGCTATTTCGTGGCGGCCAGTTTTTATTGGAGGAGGAAGCCGGGGTGCCCAGAGAAAACCACGACCTGCGATAGGAAAACTGACAATCCTAGTCAATTAAGATTGGAGTCAAGTGCACCCGCACGAGCGGGGTTCGAACTCACAACCTCAGTGTTGACTGGCTAGTGATTACAGTAGTAACTACTTAGACCACTCGGCCATTGAGGCCCCTAATATTCTTTAGACATGTATTAACTGTGCTGCTGATGTCAAACTGTAAATACATAAATTTTGAACTACAACTGACCATGCTCCTTCATAATCTTCAATATCAAAGCTGTCACAGTAGTCTTAATATGTAGATTTTTATTAACTTTAAAATCGTTACTGTAAATTCAGAAATTATTGCGTGCATTTATTACTGCGATTTTGTCATTTTAGACTCAAATCTGATTTTAATTTTTGCGATATTGAGAAAAATCCTGTTTAATTCATATAAAAATTTCAAAATGCGAGTTTAAATTGTCGCGATTATAACCCTGTCGCATTTTTCGCAATAATAAAAACATCGCAATAATTTCTGAATTTACAGTATATATTTCTTTTTTTTATTTCTGATATTTTCTGACTAATGTTGAAGCAAAAACCATTTGGATGTTGAAAAATTCATTTGTTATTCTACCCCAGTTTGCAAAAATCTAATGTTATTTTGTCCTATGTTTGACTGTCATTTTTTTTATTAGAAATTGTCCAAAAAATCAATTAAATTTAATGGAAGTGACCTCCATCCCTTTTACAATAGTTTATGAAATAGTACTTTATTACAGATCTTATTGGTCTGATGACCAGCACATCACAAAATAAAAAAATTGCTTTATGCACAAATCAATGCATTGATAAATGTAAATCCTGGTCCCCAACTGTATTGTAGGAGATCTAGAGGAACATATGTGTTATTGACAGAAATCAATGAAATTGAAATAGGGTATGATAAATAAGATAGCAGAAAAATTAATGAGATATCACAGTTCCCTGGGACAACATTTAATATAAATCTTCTTAAAGCCTAAAAAAAGGTAATTAGAGTTCACATTTGATAACTCAGACCACCCTGAAAATACACTCCGGAGAAATTGGTCTATTGAAAATATATTGAATTTTTCATTATGGTTTAAATAAACTATGCATACATATATTAAAACCATGCATATGAAGAAGTTCAAACAGAATGTTTCAATCCAAAGTAAGTGATTCCATACCCGTAAATTAGAGAAATTATTTAGTTTACATATAAATGTTACTAACAAGACACAAAACCCTTTTTTAAAAAATAGTGGCTATATTGGACAATCACCATCTTTGGTAGAAAATGGGGTCCTAAACAATAATTCTTTAACATGTTTAAGAGAATCACAATTGGATCATCACACAAAATTTTGGAAAAAATTTATCTTTTATGTGATTTTTTTCAAGATAAAATAAAATGCTTCGCTGGGCGCAGCTTGATACGACCGCAGAGGTCGAACCCTGAACAGTTGGGGCAAGTATGGACACAACATTCAAGCTTGATACAGCTCTGAATTTGGATTGTGATTAAATATTTGACACAGCATAGGTTTCTGACACAGAAAGAATGTGGTCTAAGAACTTCAATTTTTTTTAATTTACCTATTATGGTCCAATGTCCAAAATCAAAATACATGGTTAGATTCAGCATATCAAAGAACCCCATATATTCAATTATTGTTGAAATCAAACAAAGTTTAATTTTGGACCCCAACTTGGACAAACTTGAAAACTGGTCCCATAATCAAAAATCTAAACACATGTTTAGATTCAGCATATCAATTACCCCAAGAATTCAATTTTTGTTAAAATCAAACTTAAGTTTAATTTTGGACCCCTTGGACCTTAATGTAGACCAATTTAAAAAACAGGACCCAAAATTAAAAATCTAAAAACACTGTTAGATTTGGCATATCAAAGAACCCCAATAATTCAATTTTTGATGAAATCAAACAAAGTTTAATTTTGGACCCTTTTGACCTCAATATGAACCAATTTGATAGCGGGCCCACAAAATAAAAAATCTAAATACATGGTAAGATTCAGCATATCAAAGAACCCCATATATTCAATTTTTGTTGAAATCAAACAAAGTTTAATTTTGGACCCCAATTTGGACCAACTAGAAAACTGGGCCAAAAATCTAAAATCTAAATACATGTTTAGATTCAGCATATCAAAGAACCCCATATATTCAATTTTTGTTGAAATCAAACAAAGTTTAATTTTGGACCCCAACTTGGACCAACTTGAAAACTGGTCCCATAATCAATAAAATGCTCCGCTGGGGCGCAGCTTGATACGACCGCAGAGGTCAAACCCTGAACAGTTGGGGCAAGTATGGACACAACATTCAAGCTTGATACAGCACTGAATTTGGATTGTAATTAAATATTTGACACAGCATAGGTTTCTGACACAGAATGAAAGTGGTCTAAGAACTTATAATTTTTTAATTTACCTATTCATACATGTGATGGACTGTGAAACTCAGATCAGGAGATTGGGAAATTTTGGTCAGGAGATTAGGACTCAGATCAGGAGGTTTTTAATCGACATAAATTTTGTCGTGAGTGTAACCGTGTGCTGTAAAAATGGTCTTTTAAAGTGTGTTTTCTTCAACTTTCCATCCAATTTATTATGTTTATAGTACCCTTGTACTTATAAAGTTTCTCCATCTTTATATTTTACATGTTCAATCTAACAATTTTTTTTTTCAGTATGTTCTTTAAATTTTTTACTTCATATTCTATAAAACATTTATTGCAACCAGAACATTTGTTTAACTATCTGCAAATAGCTTTTGTTTGCATACTCAGAAAATCATTCTAACTGTACAACAAGGGTCATAGTTATTATATAAATTTCAATTTAAGCCTTGAAAGGAAGTATAGAATCCTCAAATAATTTTCAAATTATTATTTTTTTATTTGTCCTAAGACATTTAAAATCATTTATTTACCATCCTTTTATGATTATTTGTTCAATTTATATTTTATTTATATTCTTTTAAAAATTTTCATTATTAAAAGGAAAGTAACTTAAAACAGGACAAATCAAGGGAAGTAACCCAATAAATACACAGTTTTTGTTACACAACGGCAGTTAGCCTGAGGTAAAAAATCATTGATTACCAGTATGTTTGACACCCAAGCTGACAAGTGAAGCCATATAATTATGCATGTTAATTGATTTACAGGTAAAATATAACTTCAGGTAATGTGAGTTACACCAGATGCCTGAGATGATATGTTGGGCAGAAATTTTTCATTCGTGAAAAATTTCATACACGGGATTATAATTTTCCTCTTCAACCGGAGGTCAGGAGGAGACTCCTGAAAACAGGATTATTGTACACCTGTCGGGAGGTTCACATGTATGCTATTCAAACCATATCATTATTATTTGCTTTTATATATATAAATCAGAAATAACCAATTTAAAATGGAAAATTTTAAAGAAAAAAAAGGGAAAAAAAATCCCCCCCCCCCCAAATTTTTTGAACCCCCTTATGATTCATCGCCCCCACACTCAATCCCAGCTTTCCCTTTGTGGTATGGTACCTAGCAGTACAATTTTAGAGAGATCCATTCACTTGAACACAAGTTATTGTCTGGAAACTAGAAAAATGCTTGTTTTTTTGTCCCTTTTTGGCCCCTAATTCCTAAACGTTTAGGGCAATTACCCCAAACTCCAACCCAGCTTTCCCTTTGTGATATGGAACCCTTCAGTACAATTTCATAAAGATCCATACACTTACAAACAAGTTATTGTCCTGAAACTAGAAAAATGCTTGTTTTTTGCCCCTTTTTGGCCCCTAATTCCCAAAATTTGGAGGAAATTACCCCCAAAAATCAATCCCAGTATTCCCTTTGTGATATGGAACCTTGTGATACAATGTCAGAGAGATCCATACACTTACACACAAGTTATTGTCATGAAACTAGAAAAATGCTTGTTTTTTGCCCCTTTTTGGCCCCTAATTCCTAAAATTTGGAGGCAATTACCCCCAAAATCAATCCCAGCATTCCCTTTGTGATATGGAACCTTGTGGTACAATGTCAGAGAGATCCATATACTTACACACAAGTTATGTCTGGAAGTTACAAAATTGCTTATTTTTGGCCCCTTTTTGGCCCCTTATTCCTTAACTGTTAGTACCATAACCCCCAAAATCAATCCCCACCTTCCTTTTGTCGTATTGAACCTTATGGTAAAATTTCATTGAGATCCATTCACTTAAACTAAAGTTAGAGTGCGAAAACTAATGTGTATTCGGACGA